CACAAGTATAAAAAAAGAAATCTCAGTACAGTTTTTCCCCCCAGAGGATTGCCTGGTTGCAGCATTCTAATGCTTTACACAATATATTTATCCAAAAACCTACCTAACAGTGAATACCCACAATGTCTATTAGGCCAAATCAAAACAAAGAATAAAATATAGTTTCTTCTTCATGTCACTTAATTCCTCCTCTTATTTGTCAGTTACAGGTTTTCCTTAAAGTGGAGCTCCACCCAAAGAGGAAGTTCTGCTTTAAGCCTTTGTCCCCCACTCCCCATTAAGGATTGGCACCTTTGGGGAGCGGGTACCCGAATTTAAAGCGGAAGCTGTCTTCCCCCCTCTCTCCCTGTAGTCTTCTAGGACACGTGACAGGTCCCAGAAGACTACAGGGCCCTTCACAAAGCACAGCGCTTCTCGCGCATGCGCAGTGAGCACCTGACTGTGAACCCGCAAACTGTCATAGCCGGGTGCCCACACTGAATACGGCCGGTGAAACCAGCCTTAGTGAGGACACCGCTGGGCCAAGGGACAGGTAAGTGTCTGTATTTTAAAAGTCAGCAGCTACAGTTTTTGTAGCTGCTGACTTTTATTTATTTATTTTTTTAACTGGAACTCCACTTTAATAGCACTTAGCAATGACCTCCGCACATGTCATCATACTCTTCAAAACACAGTAAACAATACCAAGTCAGTCACCAAATTTGTTCAGATTAGCATTCTCCATAGTGGATGTTAGTTGTGTTAGCTGTCTCAATGCTGGGCTGTGATGTCAATGCCCACTGCCCACTGGGCATTTAGTTCTGGTGCACAAGACTCAAATGTTTATGTGCAGTCTGTAAGTCTATGAGAGCAGGGGCGCACTGACCATTTGGAAACTTGGGCACTGCCCGAGGGCCCGGTGTCAGTAGGGGGCCCCATGAGATGCCCCTGGTACCTTTTTCATAGGCTTTTTTGAGTTTGGGCAAGGACACAGGGGCCCCATGATCCCCTATTGCCCGGGGGCCCCATGAGTTGTCAGTCCGCCCCTGAGGTTGACAGTTGATGTGGTTAGATGGGGATAGATAGTTCACCTAGTGGTACTTTTAGAGCAGTATGTGCCAAGGGACAAATGTCCAGAACACAGTCTTGGTGAATTCCCCCTATGGTTTTTTACCCTTTCTTTATATTCCTAAAATTTTCTTCAACGCTGTCTTAGTTCTCCCTATATATTGTAAGGTATACCACCCTCTCTGAGTTGCAAGTTATACATTGATTAGCTATACATTGATTAATTTTAGATTCCTTTCCACTTACTAATAATTAATAATATAAATAGATTAATACTTTTAATTGTGTATTAATAGCATTAATAGATTTACCACTTGTTCATTGTTGGTACCCTTCCTTTTTTTACAATAAAAAGATCCTTTTCTGTCTCCAAACCAATTACCTGGTACTTTTTCATTCCTACAAATTTAGGTTGCACCATCAGAAATGTATTTAGAATCTCATCCTCCTGAAGAATGTGCCAAGTTGCCTTTAAATCCCATTAACCCCTTCAATCTCATCTCAAAAGTCAGGATTGAAAGGAATGTTTTCGCCTTTTCATTTGGACATGTTTTCTCTCTATTTTTAGTAAGTCATCTCATTCTTCTCAGCCTTTTTAAAAACCTTCCTTAATATTTTCTTTTTTATAACCTTTTTCATAAAACCTTTCAGCCATTTTCTTGTCCTACCTCAACATTTGTACAGTTCCATCTAATTCTATAGAATCCTTGGAAACCTTTGTGACATTATTCATTCAGTTTTTATGGTGGTCACTCTTTTCTAGACCATTACAATTAGTGGATTTCTGAAAGATCCTGGTTACAACTTTCCTATCATTTATTTCAATTCTCAGATCTAAGAAATTGTCCTTTTCTGTGCTATATATTTATTGCAAAATTCCAATTGCCAATTTGGGGTCTTAAGTTGTTTTTAGAATTGTTTCAGAGTTTCTTTTGAACCTCCACAAATAAGCTTCACAAATTGCTATGCTGGGTGAGATTCCAAATAAAATTTTGTGGAGCAACCTATATTTGTATATAATGGCTCTATCAAAGCTGGCCCTAGTACCATGTGAATGCTGTGACTAATCACAGTGATCACGTCAGTTGTCAACAATGGCTTTCATAGTCATTGTGTGTACTCTATCAAAGCTGGAGTGCCACTAGGCTAAATTTAATGGGCAGCTAGGCTACAGCCATCCTGAGCTCTGATTGTTACCATTTCTGCATTTGCTGGATTTCCCCTAAGTCTAGGGTGTTTATTTTTGCCTGTTGCTGGGGAACATTCTCCGGAAGACAGAAAAAACAAACAATATTTGCGGTTATGAATAATTTGGATTTTGGCCAATCACAAGGAAGTTTATTGCCGGTGATGTGGGATGGGGAAGGAGCTAAAAATCTGGGGAGCCCTTTAGAAGGGTCCTTGCCTCCCAGGCTTTGCTTGGATAATACTAGATCCTGCCATACCCTCGCATGCATGCTGCCTGGGGCATGTGAGAAGAGAACAGTGGCCTTATGCCTTGCAGGACTGCTGCCTGGGAAGGAAATATTTCCAGAACCTATGATGCAAGATTGGAAGCTGGCCTAGATTGAGGCCTTAAAGTACAAGAAGGTGGTTACTGAATTGATTTCAGAGACATGAAAGGATTTTGTTTGTTGCAAAACATGCAAGACATGTAACAACAGTAAAAAGGGTAATACATCTATTAAACCTTTTTTTTTTTATATATATAATAGCAACTGGAAAGGAATATAAAATGAATCACTATATAACTCAGAGAGGGTGTTATACCCCAGAATGTATCTACCCCTTAAGATATACTGTATAGGAAGGGCTAAGGGGGCTGTATATGTTTGGGTTGAAGAACTCATTAAGAACATATGTAAAGGGTTTTAAAAAAATGCTGCAAAATTCATGAAGCATGTCATAGATAGCTATAATAAATCTCTCTGTATATCAACAAATGGTGCAACTTGTGACAGATTTATTTATGTGCCAGCAAAATGTATATGAATCTGTCACAGAATTGTTTCTATTGCAGAATTGTCTCAAAGATGTGACACAATACTTACATGTGCAAAACAATTTACTCTAACATTGGAGAGATCTTATTTACCTTCCCTTTCCTTATTAACGATATGGCGATTTATTAATTTGTCACAGTCTTAACAGCAGAATGTAAAACTGGTGCATATAAAAACTACCTAACATTTGTTGTACACGTTGGAACTAGCAATGGAATGGTCACAAGGAGGTGATTGGTAATCCCTATTAAAGTGGAACTAAACCTTTTTTTGACCATCTCCTGACCTGCTCCATGTGATAGCTGTTGTAAATCACAGCATCACAATAGTAAGCAAGGTATCATGAAAGAAACTTTTTGAACAGTATTAGGCTCCATGTAGACGAGCCTACCCTGACCGCTGGCCACGGGAAAACGCAAATCGTGGCCAAAACGTGGCAACCGCAGTACCGTGATTTTGCTGCAGTTTGCGTTTTTCCCGTGGTCGGCGGTTCCTATCCTGAACACGATTCTTCCATGTTCAGGAGAGGGATGTTTAACCTCACCTAAAGGCAGCTCCTAAACTCTGCTAAAAGCCTATGTGTACATGGACACATTATCTTTTATGGAGTTGAGTTTAGGAGCTTTGGAAAAAAAATGCCAAAAGCTCCTAAACTCGAAAAAATAAGTGTAAAATTAAGACAATTGTGAACTTTTTTCTGAAATTTCTTTATTTTCCATAAAATGTTGACAAATAAATTGCAGCTTCAAAAAACTCACTATACCTCTTATGAAATGCATTGGTCATTTGGGGGATATTTGTACTGTCCTGCCATTTTATTGCCTCAAGAAATGAGACATGACATCAGCACATAAAGGTTGATCAATTTTCACATATACTGTATATTTTGGGTTGGGTTATTTCTACAAATGTAGCAGACTATATGTTGGACTAAATTTATGAATATTATTTATTTGCAAAATTTTATAACAGAAACTAAGAAAAATGTGTGTGTGTGTGGGGGGGAGGGGTGGGGGAGAAGGGGGGTGGAGAAATAGGAAATTAAAAAAAAAAAACCTTGTGGTGATTAAATATCACAAAAAGAAGCTCTATCTGTCTCAAAAAATGATACAAATTTCATTTGGGTGCAGCGTTGCATAACTAAGTAATTGTGTGGCAGTGCTGAAATCTGAGAATTTAAATTTTGGCTGTTACAAAGTTCTTGCTTTCTGTTTCATTGACAATGTTGTCATCTGGCCAATAAGTGGGGAAATTCTCCTTCACTTGATGTCCTCCACACTTCCAGGAAACAGGGACACAAGCAACAATAAAAGGTTTTTGGCTTCCCTACTTTACTAAGATTTTTTTTTTTCACAAAATCATAGGAAACCACCCCAAGTAAAGGAAACCACCCCCAAGGGACCTTAGGCAACAGTAAAAAGTGGCAGAGATTCTGACCCGCGTTTCCCCTTAAAAGTGACAGCAGCAGGTGGCAGGAGGAAGGGCTGGGGTTATGTACACTTCCTAAATAGGGGTGTAACATGTATGTGCAAAAGGTGAACTTAGCCTTTAAGTGACAAATGTGTTCCACAATAAACAGATACTCCATTTCAGATGGAACAGAAACTTTGGTAAAATCCATTCTAGAAATAAAAAAACAATACTTTACAATGCTTATTTATAGATCATTTTGATACAGAGATAGCTGTAGTTGAGAGGCCATTAGCTCCATAGGGATCAGTCTGTAGTCCGCTCTTTTTCCCTGACAATTATTATAAAATATGCACACTTTTACAGCATATTCTAACCTTCTCATCTTTTAAATTTGTAATATAATGAAAAACAGCTCATAAAATACTTTAGTTAAAATAAAAGTGTAAAAACGTGCTGTCGATTCTTGCAAATGCTACACTCACAGGCTTTTACTGAGGAAGTCTTAGCACTTAGCCTGGAAAACAATCAATTACTTACAGATTTTGTGCTTCCTTCTAAGATCTCTTCCTCCAGGGGCTCCAGCTTTAGGTCCTTTACAAAAACAAGAATAGTGCTGAATAATTATCATTTTATTAGAAGATCATGAAAAGAATTGAGTTTAGATTTTAGAATCTTTAAAGTAGTATTAAACCCTCTGCGTTTTTAAGTTTAACATATTGAACACAGTGAAATAAACATTCCCAGCTATTTCATATAATTCTTACTGTTTACAACTTTCATTACTGCTGGCTCCTGCTCTACCAGTCCTGCCTTCCTGAACTTCCATTCTTCACATGAAATAGTTAACGGAGGGCAGTGCAGTCTCCAGCCAGTCTGTTAGCTTGGAGAAGGGATGGGACAGAGAAAGGGAGGAGCAGGGAAGTGCCTTGTCATCCTAGGCCAGGGGTCTCCAAACTGCGGCCCGAGGGCTGGATGTGGCCTTTTGCTAGCTTTTATCCGACCCTTGGGGCACTATTCCTCCCAATGATATGAGGTACTATTCCTTCCACTGACACCAGCAATGGGACACTTTATTTCACTGATACCGATAATGGGGCATTATTCTTCCCAATAATACCAATGTTGGGTATTAAAGGGAGGAATAGTACCCCATGTTTATTTTCACTGATGCTGGGCCCGGAACATTCTCTACCTCCACTGGTCACAATCCAGCCCTCCTAAAGTTTGAAGAACAGTAAACCGGCCCTTTGTTTGAGCAGTTTGGAGACCCCTGTCCTAGGCTATGGACTGTGTGTTTCAGTGTAGGGAGACACAACTCTAGTCTCTGCATGCAAAGGTGGCTCCATTGGATGTTGCAAGAAAGAAGCCACCCTGAATCAGGTAACATGGGCAAGAATTAAATGATAAATATAAATCATACTCAGTAAGCGATTAAAAAATGAGGGTTTAATAACACTTTAAAGAATCTTATGAACCTAGGTGATGGCTGTTGTATGATTTTTTTGCTAAACCTATCGGATAACCATATTCAGGCAAAAATAACATCCAATGCTTATCTATAGAATTCTTGTTTGTGTATATCATTTACTTGCTTCTATAAGTATTCACTGTGCTACTACGTTTTCCACACAAATAAAATGCATATACAGATGGCTTTGTTAGAGTCTCCTTTGGCCCCCAGATTTTGGGGTATTCTAATAGGCAACTTCCAACATCTTTTTTGGATAGTCTAGCACTGATCTCACCCCTTTTACATGATGCAGTCCCATTCTATCCCACATAGTCTAATGCATCCAACTTATCACTTTGTTGTGCGGACTTCCTTGTTTTTACAGTGCATTTGCACAAATTTACAACATAGTCATGTATTGCTTTTTCAGCTAAATCAGGCGTTCTTCTTTAGTTTATATCAATGGTGGAGAAAGATCTGGGAGTTCCAGTAGATCACAAGCTTAATAATGGCATGCAATGCCAAGCTGTGGTTTCTAAAGCGAACAAAATCCTCTCTTGTATTAAAAGAGGTATAGACTCCAGAGAGAGAGATATCATAGTACCCCTGTACAAATCATTAGTAAGACCTCATCTGGAATATGCAGTTCAATTTTGGACAATAATTCACAAAAGGAACATTGGAGAACTGGAGAAACTACAGAGAAGGGCAACCAAACTGATAAGAGGCATGGAGGAGCTCAGCTATGAGGAAAGATTAGAGGAACTGAATTTATTCTCTCTTGAGAAGAGGAGATTAAGATGGGATATGATCAACATGTATGCCACATCAGTGGTTTCTTCACAGTGAGAGCTGTGAAAATGTTGAATAGATTCCCTCAAGAGTTGGTTCTGACCAGCTCAGTGGATTGCTTTAGAAAAGGCCTGCATTCTTTCCTAGATACACAGAATATAACTGGATACTAACATTTATAAGTAAAGTTGATCCAGGGAATATCCGATTGCCTCTCGGGGGATCAGAAAGGATTTTTTTTTCCCTGCAGGAGCAAATTGGGTCATGCTTTGCTGTTTTTTTTTTTGCCTTCCTCTGGATCAACTGTGGGTAAAGGATTATAACTTTTTTTTTTTTTAGTGGTTGAACTGGATGAACTTTTGTCTTTTTTTTAGCCAGACTAATTATTTAACTATATTGCCATTCCTGCCCTTCCCACCCAAATCAAAATGCTAATAAAAATTTTAAAGTATAAACTCACCTTTGAAACATGTAACATGCTCCACCCACTTTTAGGGTGGAAAGTAACATGTTCCAGCATCTGCAGCCTTTTCCCCCCTGATCCCCCCCCCTCCTTGTGACAGTGGGCAGGGGATCCTCTCCCTGCACAGGTTCCTGTGAATGAATGCCTACAAGTACCATCAACCATTGCAGCTTGTAGTTCTCAATGAACTGTGAGGACATTAACTAAGGGATTATGCTGCTATTCTGCTGGTGAATCTAAATCTCCGAGTGTGAATACAACATAAGGCTCTAAGAATTCCCATAGTGCTGCTCACTGAGGAAGACATCAACAGTTAACGTTTTGGAAGGTGTACGTCCTGTTACATCGTCCTGTTACATCTGTCGTAAAACTAACACATTTCATAAAAAAAATCATACCAACAGTCAAACATGGTGATGGTAGTGTAATGGTCTGGGGCTGCTGTGCAGCTTCAAGACCTGGATGACTTGCCATAATTGATGGAACCATGAATTATGTGCTCTATCAGAAAATCCTGATGGAGAATATCTGGCCATATCGTGACCTCAAGCTCAAGTGCGCTTAGGTTATGCAGCAGGAGAATGATCTGAAACACACACCAAGTCCACCTCTGAATGGCTCAAAAAAAAAAAAATTAAGGTTTTGAATTGGTCTAGTAAAATTCTTGAGTTCAATCCAATTGAGATGCTGTGGCATGACTTTAAACAGGCTGTTCATGCTCGAAAACCCTCCAATGTGGCTGAATTGAAACAATTCTGCAAAGAAGGGAGGGCCAAAATTCCTTCACATTGATGTAAAAGCTCATTGCCAGTTATCACAAACACTTGACTGCAGTTGTTGCCGCCTAGGGTGGCACAACCAGTTGTTAGGTTTAGGGGCAATTACTTTTTCACATAGGACCAGGCAGATTTGGACAGCTTTTTTCTGTTAATAAATGAAATTATCATTTAAAAACTGCATTTTGTATTTACTCGGGTTATCTTTGTGTAATATTAACATTTGTTTGCTGAGATTTAAGTGTGGCAAAAAATAAAAAATCAGCAAGGGAACAAATACTTTTTCACAGCACTGTATTTGTACATTATGATCATCTTGTATCTTAACTGCCTCTTCTCAAGAGTTATTAACTGTAAATCGATCACTTTGCCGAGGTCCTCCTTCCTACATATAAATTTTGGTGCCTTTCACTGAACTCTTTCTAGTTCAAAGACATCCTTCCTTGGATGTGTGGCCAAAATTAAATTGCATATTCAAGTTCAGGCCAAACCAGTGTTTCGTAAAAGGGTAGAATTATTAATTTACCTCTTCAATGTATGCCCCTTTTAATGCATGAGAATATTCTGCAAACTTGACATTGCTTGCTGTAGCTAAGCCTGATCTACAAGGAGCCCCAAATCGTCTTTCCATCACAGATTCTTCCAGAGGAGCCCCGCCAATCAGTATTTTGTATGCATATTTGTTTGCACCCAAATACATAACTTTACATTTTTCAGGGTTGAACTCCCAATTTATTAAAGTCTTGCATATTGTTGCAATATCTTCTGTCAAATGTATTTCCCTGCATAATTTGGTATCATCAGCAAACACTGAAATTGAGCTCCTAAATCTAACTTTATCATTGATAATCAAGTTAAAACAGCACTTGCCCCGGGATAGAGCCCTGGGGTACACCACTTACAGCCTTAGATCATTTAGTAAATGAGTATGCTGTATAATAAATACACTGTTAAAAAAAATTAAACACTTTTTAATCAAAGTATAGCATCAAGTCAATTAAATTCCTGGAATATTGATCTTGTCAGTTAAATATCAGAGGGGGTTGTTAATCAGTTTCAGCTGCATTGGTATAAATGAAATTAACAACAGGTGCACTAGATGGGCAACAATGAAATGACCCCCAAAACAGGAATGGTTTTACAGGTGGAGACCACTGACATTTTTTTCCCTACTTATGTTTTTCTGACTGTTTCTCACTAGTTTTACATTTGAAAAGGGTCAGGGTCACTACTGGTAGCCTGAGGCGATACCTGGACCCTACAGAGGTTGTACAGGTAGGCCAACTCCTCCAGGATGGCACATCAATATGTGCCATTGCCAGAAGGTTCTGCTCCTTTGTGCAAGGAAGAACAGGATGAGCACTGCCAGAGTCCTACAAAATGTCCTCCAGCAGGCCATTGGTGTGAATGTCTCTGACCAAACAATCAGAAACAGAGTTCATGAGAGTGACCTGAGGACCCGACATCCTCTAGTGGGCCCTGTGCTCACTGCCTGGCACAATAGAGCTCAACTGTCATTTGCCATTGAACACCAGAATTTCACAGATGAGAGCAGGTTCACCCTGAGCACATGACAGGCATGAAAGGGTCTGCAGAAGCTGTGGAGAATGTTATGCTGCCTGTAACATCGTTCCACATGAACATTTTTGGTGGTGGGTCAGTGATGGTCTGGGGAGACATATCCATGGAGGGACGCACAGACCTCTACAGACTAGATAATGACACCCTGACTGCCATTAGGTTTTGGGATGAAATCATTGGACCCATTGTCAGACCCTACTCTGGTTCAGTGGGTCCTGGGTTCCTGCTGGTGCATGACAATGCCCGGCCTCATGTGACAAGAGTATGTAGGCAGTTCATGGAGGATGACGGAACTGATACCATTGAATGGCCCCCATGCTCGCCTGACCTAAATCCAATAAAACACATCTGAGATATCATGTTTTGGTCCATCCGACGACGCCAGGTTGCACCTCAGACTGTCCAGGAGCTCAGTGATGCCCTAGTCCAGATCTGGGAGGAAATACCCCAGGACACTATCCGTCATCTCATTAGGAGCATGCCCTGAAGACAGACATGCATATAAGCACGTGGGAGCCATACATACTACTGAGTACCATTTTGAGTTGCTGCAATGAAATTTTAGCAAAATGGACTAGCCTGCTGCATAATGTTTTCACTTTGATTTTTGGGGTGTATTTGAATTCAGTCCTCTGTAGGTTGATCATTTTCATTTCCATCAAACGATGGGGCATCCTTACGTTCCTATCACATTACCCAGTCCATATCAGTATAGATGTCCAGCTTGATATTTTTCCCCATTGAGATCTGATGTTTTTTCAAAGTGTTCCTTTAATTTTTTTGAGCAGTGTATATATATATATATATATATATATATATATATATATATATTAGAGATGCACCAATACTGATACTGGTATCGGTTCCAATACCAAGTATTTTCACGAATACTCATACTCTTGAAAATTATCCCAATACCTGAAACCAATACTTTGCTTTTCGATTTTCGTCATTACTAAATGTATGGATGCAAACTGCACAGCAAAGAATAGCAAGCGATTTGAACAGGAATGTGATGCAATTCCTGTCCAAATCACATGTGGTTTCCCCACTGCTCCTGTGTGAACCCAGGCTATCATAGCCTAGTTCATAAAGGAGTGCTGTGGGAAACCTCCGTGCATGGATCCCATTCTTGCACAGAAGGAAAAGCTGGGGATTTGAATTCCCCATGGCTTTCTCTTCTCTCAGTGCAGAGATGATGGTGCTGACCAATCAGAAGTCATCTAGTCCATACTGTCATCCCTGAAAGGAAAGGAGAGAAAGCCGCTGGGATTTCAAATTCCCAGATCTGTGACTTGTGACATACAACTTCTTAAATTAAATACTTATGAGGTACAGCATCAAATGCTTTAGCAAAAACCAGATACACTACATTCACTGACCTTCCACTATCTACATTTCTACTCTCCTACTCATAGAATGTTAACAGGTTGGTCTAGGTCTAAGAGGAACGGTTTTTATTAAATCCATGCTTTTTAATATTTATGATGCCTTTATTACAGACAAATTCTTGAATTTAGTCCCTTACTATTCCCTCAAATACTTTACATACAATCGATGTTAGGATGAGTGGTCTGTAGTTTGTTGGTATACAGTTCAACCCCTTTTTTGAATATTGGTACCACATTTGCTCTGCACCAATCTGTTAGTACCATTCCAATCAGTAATGTGTCTTTCACAATTAGAAATAGTGGCTTGGCTATAACAGAGCTAAACTCATGGGTGTAAGCCATCTTCTGCTGGCAATTAAATCACATTACGTTTTTCTAGTCTGTTTTGGCCCTGGTTTTGTCAGCCACTACAATGTTAATAATATTACAATTCCAAATATCAAACCCATCTTTTTCATTTTTATAAACTGAAGAGATAAATGAGTTTAACATATTTGCCTTCTCCCTGCCATTTGTGACCAATTACTATATAATAGTATATATTATAAACTTTTACTTACAAGTAGCAATATACTTTTCATATTCTATTTTAGCTAACCTGGTTACTCTCTTCTTGCATTTCTTGTACTATCTGAATATGAATTTTTATCTTTGTATTTAGCTGTTTGCCTGTAGCCTTAAGTACAAGCACGTACTCTAAAAACACACCTAACATTAGCGTTTTTTTTTTTTTTTTTTTTAGCTCAATATAAACAAGGAAGACTGGCTCTTGCAAAATAAATAAATAAATAACGACAAATTTCAGTACCTTTTTTTCCAGCCTATCAATTAGTTTCTGAAGTCTGTTTATCTGGGTCATCCACTGGTTGTCTTCGTCTAACAAGCCTACAGGAAGAATAAATAAATAATCGAATGGAAAATATTCAGGATTTCTTTCTTAAGTAGACAGGAATAACTATTCAGTGTAGAGGCCCTACAGGAAAACTCTTTAAATGCTGTTACGATTTAGCACGTACCTCTATGTTCAACATTTGTTTAGACGTTAGGATTTATTACGTAACGAACCTAAAATGTTTGAACGGCGTATGGTAATACTAGTGGAACTACTGCAAATGCATGTCCTCCAGGTCTCTGAGGCTCAGTGGAGGTTGTGCTGAAATCATGCTATGTATGTGCTTTCTGTGCTTGTGGAGGGTTCTAATTATTCTCATTCATGACACAAGAGAACAGCAAGATAAACTTTCTGAGAAACTCCAACATGGCTTCAGCATAATGACATCTCATTGTCCCCATGTTAGAATGCCATCTCAGGCTAGCATAATATTGGTATACTGCTTCATGACAATAGGCTGTCCACAAATGTTCTAGTACTGATTTGTGTTAAAGGAACATAAGAAATCCTACAAGGTCCTAGAACATCCGCCTGTGATGCCCGTTTGCTTTATGTGAATAAAGGACAATATTATTACGACATAAGGTGTGCTGGTGAAGATCCTTATTTTCCTATGATTACATGGGTGTACAATCCACCAGTTCCCTACTGCATCCTACATGAACTGTGGGCAGGTCTATAGGAAGTACAACAGATACACTACTTCTCTGATTTTTGTTAAAAAAAAAACGATTTCCTATACATATGAAAAAGGGTTCTACTGCAGTCAACAAAAAGAAGGATGGCTATACCATACTGCAAATGTATGTTTGTGTCATATATACAATAAAGTTAAAATCTAAATCAGATAAATAAAAGGTGTGCAAAGACAAAGGGCCCACATGCATTAATGTGTGTAAGGTCTTGCGTTAATGTGCATGCCATTAGTGCAGCCCATTGAATAATAAGGGGCTGCTGATGCCCCAAAACATCTCAAAAATTGCATTTGGCACATTGTTTTTCTTTATAATGCACTATAATGTATTTCCAGGCATTGGGGCATGCATTGCCTTAGTGTGTGGGGGTGCTATTCAAAAGGAATGGCACCAAAATGCATCAATGTACGTAACATGCATGGATGCCTATTAACAAAACACATAGATGTAAATTGGCCCCTAAAGCAGGTTTTGTTTAGAAAGCTGGTTTCCTAAATATCTTCTTTATTTAGAAAGCAGCCACATCCTGTGGAGAGGAGAACCCTTAATCTGTGGAAACAGTAGACTCTCTGTAGAGCTCTCCAATCGACGGGTAAAAAGGAAAATCAGCAACACGGATACAGCCACTTCCTTCACGTCATGTCATTACAACTAAAGTAATACACTATATATAAATTTCTGGGCTTCTGTGGTGAGCTTTCTTCCATAGGAGAAGTCCTTTTGGTCAAAGATTCTGAGTCTCCATTTGAGGGACCAATATCATTGCTACTATACTAGTAGCTTTCTGGTGAGTGCATAGCGGTGGTGGACTGTTTCACTGGATTTCACAGCACCTGCTTGGAATTGAACACGATACTGCTGTGTCTTGTAGTGCCAAGGACACCTTGTTTACCTACATTGAATTTTTTTTTTGTCACCTTGATATTTTTTTGGATGGATTTATATTTGTTCATCACACCACTTAGTTATATATTGACTATTTTTGCATATATGTTTGATTTACATTATCCAGTTAGCACTGGTGATATATTTTACCTTCAATTATTTAATATTCAGTGCTGCATTTTATATGTATAAAGATTAAAATTAAAAATGTTGACTTAATATACAAGCAAATTTGACCCATTGTGAAACAGCAATGAACCTGCAATTCAGCAATTGTGTTTAAAACCTTAGCTAACATAACATAATAGATTACAGTTAAAATTTCTTCCATGCACACATTTGTATGTCATATCCATGTTTGCTTACATTGCATTGCTGTATTTACTATTTTTATAATATATTTACTTTTACATTTATGGGGAATTTCTGTCTTAATGTGAAAACTGTAATTGTATTTAAAATTTTAAAATTTTTTTTTTAATAATTACCATACAAAAGGGAGCTATTTAGGTCCTGTATATTATACATTTTTAAAGTGTTTAATAAAAAAAAAAATATACCAATGTTAAACTGAGGGCTGTTAGGTGAAAAACTGTTATTTCTCTGAAGTCTTCGATTGGATCGTTTTCCTGTCCATGGAATTGAAAGCACATGTGGCTTTGTAGGTCCTTGCCTGGAAATAAACAGATGTCACAAGTTTAACTCAGAGACAGAAAAAAAAGGAGAACATTGATTTGGACGTGCTTGGGAGATGGATTTGATGGCAGCATAGAGCCATACATCTTTAATGATAGACGTCAAAAAGCATGTCCTCTTTTCTCCTATGTACACAATACCGAAGCTGTTACACATGCAACATGCTTATTATGTGGGAAGAAGTGATCCTACAAGAGCATATTGCATCTTCCATCTGGCTATTCAAGTCATGAGCAGATCTGTGCTACTGTTGAAAAGCAGCCCATACACCTGTGGTTCTAAAAGTTATAAAATCTGCAGAACTGTTCAGACTGACCCTGTGCTTTGCCTATGCAGGTTCACCTAGATTAAAGGCTGCTGGTGGGATCAAAATTACCTTCCCTTAGCTCCAACATCACTTGGCCTCCCTTTCAGCCACCAGAGAAAATATATCCAGTTATTTTGAGTGCCATGTGACTTACTCGCCTTCCTCCCACATGACAGCACTGGTGACTGGCCACTTAGACATCCCGTACTAGTCCATGATAGTAATGACAGAGCCCTCTGTAAATTGGAGGTGCCTGTCCACCTCACTACCACAAATGACATCTCTATCTTCAGCATCGTAGGATCGTTGACCAGGAATCACCTGGCACCAGCATATGGACCAATGGTGGTCCATTGGCCACAGTCTAATTATGTATCTATATATGGTCAGATTATGGCCCTAGAAGGTTTAATATTTTCTTTCTGTTTAAAAAATGATCATGCATATGTAAATGCAAGTCGCTGCACACATAAGATTCTTCTATCTTTTTTTTTTATAGCCTTCTAGGTAGACTTCTGTCTTGTTGCTTTGCTGTCTGTCTGTGCTATTCAGAGTCTGCCATTAACCTCCCTAGCGGTCTGATTATGTCCATATTTCTGTGCTCAAAGCAGTACATTTTTTTGCATGGAAATATGTATTTTTTTTATTGTTGGCCTGTAATTTTTAGGAATAACTCACTGAAATCTGTCCAAACAAGAGTCTAGTAAACATCCCGGGTATGATAAAACTTGAAACACGAAATCATAAATTATAATTTAATAAATAATTATAAAAAATAATAATATAATCAAACCAAAAACACTGAAATTTGAAAAATAGCGCCAAGTTCGCACATCACTGAGCAAAGTCGCAAAATCGTTTTCAGTGTCTGATGACGAATTTCCCCACGAATCATTATCACTCAATTCTGCAAGTGGTTCTGATTTACTATCGCTGTTCTCTAGCTGGTCTAAAACCGCTTTTGACCTAAAGGGATGCTTTTTGGACGCCATGGACGTTTCTCAGTTTCCAGGCAGAAAGAACAGTAAAAATGTAGGCAGGGCACAGGGCAAAGCACTCGGGACAAAATGTATGTGAAATGCTTTGATACAGTAATGTTTTTTACTATGTGATTTTAGTGAATGTCACTTTTTCTCATTTTCAAATTCCCTGCCGTTCCATCCCCCGTACGACTCAACGCTCGCAGAGGACGGAACCCAGATGACAGATGCCGGCATCCGACGGATTACATTGCTGGGGACACTGTAGGAGGGACATCGCAGAGCGCAAGACAAGTTAAGTAATCGAGGGATCGCGGAGCAGCGCCCCATGCTAAGCTCGAGTGTAGCTCGGGGTTACTGCTTGTGGTACTGAAACTTTACCCCGAGCTACACTCGGGAATACCGCCAAGGAGGCTACAGCTCAGATGCTATGGCACAATGTGCAGACTTCAGCAAATGATGATACCCCATAACCAACAGAGTGAAGGATAGTATGGCCCATTTGATTGTACAGGGCAGTGTAGTAGTAGTAGTTCCAGGATCACCAGCAGGTATGTTCCAGGATCACCAGATTACAGACAACAGGGAGGGATGTGGACTGGCCCAGTACAAAAATATCTGGATAAAATACTGAGCAACTCAGCACATGGATGTAGCACTACCCCCTTAGGAGTCACTAGAAGATTTAGGTCCCCCTAGAGTCCTGTACAGCCAGTCAACATGTATCTTCACACAGGCTTGCATCCAGAGTCAAAGATTGGCCCTTTATCTTTGGTTTTGTTGTTTTATTTAGGGGATTTGAACTGGGATAGGGTTAGGGGTGTACAGGATGCCCAAAGGAACTGATAAATTGAAGACCACTTCCTGGAATTATTTACAAGCCTTCTCTGCAACACAGTATTTGTTGGAGAGAGGTAGCCAGCATCTCCTTAATGTACCATTCCAGGCCCTAGAAGAACTCTGGTGCCTGTTGCTTTAAGAAATAGACAGTCTCTGATAGATGGTGAATCTGGTTTCCCACCAGAATGCTTTTTCCCTTTTTTGCTCAGGGGGTGCAGGGGTACACACTCAGATCCTCTCCTGTACTGCTGATGGGTTGGTGACTTTTAGCTGGGCTGCTCCTTCCCTGCTGCACAGGTGGTCCTTGCTCTGGGGGCCAGTGAAGCTCTGAGCTTTCTTCCTTTCCAGCTCCACTGCCTGTGGGTTGGCCCCTCTCACTGGACCTCCTTGCAGCCTCCTGCCTTCAGCCTCACATCTTCTTCACTGTCTTTCACCCAAACTCTCCTTCCAACTCTCCTGCAGCTGAGCAGGCTCTAACACGTTTAAGAGTGTCCCAGTCCCCTGCCAAGCCTTCTGGTGGGGATTAGCTGGAATCCCTCAAGCATGCAAGCCAGTCACTCCTCAGATCCACCCACTGTGTCTAGGCCTTCCTCCAAAGCCCTAGAGCAGAGGGAAATTCCAGAGGGGCCAGCCTGCAGAGCCTCTCAGCTCCTGACCTTAATTTGACCTTCTGGCTATTACTCCCAGACTGCTACTCAGCCCTCCTTCTCTATCAATCAGGACTCTAGCTCCCCCTAGCAAACTAGGAGGGCCCTACATAGACTTTACATCCCTATATGCATTTCAACGTTTAAACTCTACCCATAATAACTTGATAAAAATGAATGTTTTCTTATCAAGGAACATACATTCCACATTAATAATTATGCTAACTAAATTAGTGTGAGCTGCAAATTGCCTCCAACATTGGCCCTGATTCTTCTTGCTGGAGGCTGCCATTTTGCTGAAGCCCAGAGCCCTTAAGCAGCAGTAAATCTTTAGGCTGTTAGTAGATCAGCCTCTACATTTTCAGCACAAAAAATAGAAAGCAACTGAGCATGTACAGAGCAGGATGAGACAGTTTATTACTGGATTTTAAACAGTATAGACACTTATTAATGTTTTACATTTATTCCTGCAAAAGGGGCAAGCCTGAAGTGGTCTAGCAGGACCTAATTTTCTGACTAATGTTCCACTTTAATTCCCCATTATGATATAATTGTGCCTTTAATTTAGGATAATGCAATCACGTCTTTAAAAAAATCACATTAAAAGAGACATAAACTATCATAAAGAACCCTAAATAACACAGCAAGCCAAAAAGCAAATGAGAGATTGTAATGTGTGTTCAGAGATTTTGTTCTCTCACTTTCTGGGGGTTGTATTGATGAGTGGGGAGATTTTCAAGCTGAGCATTTGTTATGTTTCCACCTTTATGTTAATGCAGCTTTTCTTTGTTCACATGAAGAGAGTTGTTAATTCTACCTTATTATAATAAACAACACACATGTACACCATTGGGGGTCATCTATGAATGCCACAATGTTCAGAGGTGTAGTTCACATTATATTTGTTTAATGTGATGTAAAGAGTCTGTTGAAACACTGGCCTACCTGATATACAAGCTGGTTGTCCTGAAAAGACGGGGCTGCAATATTATGTTATATAAACCTTGTACCTGCTGGTTAGTCTATGACACGGATACTGTTTTTTAATAATTCTGAACCTTTATGTCATCATAAAACTGTGAAGCCATAAGCTGCGTTTGTATACAAATGACATTGGGGCTGATTTACTAAAGGCTAATTGGCTGTTCTCTTAAAGCAGAGTTCCAGTCAGTTTTGTACTTATTAAAAGTCAGCAGCTACAAAAACTGTAGCTGCGATTTTTATTAAACACACACAAATCTGTCCCGGGGTCATGCGATGTGTTCACCCGCACCATCCCTTCTCTTCCCAGCGCCAGCATCACAACTGTGGGCACCAGGCTGTGACAGCTTGTGGCTTCGCGCTGTGCATCCTAATTGGTCTGGCAGTCTTCTGGGACCTGTGAAGGGTCCCAGGAGACTGCGGGAGGAAGGAGGGGGTGCAAACGTCTGGCTTACTTCGTCGCGGCGAACTGAGCCGGAAGTGGGAGCAGGTACCTGTCAAAAACAGGTATCCACTCCCCCTCGCTCCCAAAAGGTGCCAGATATGGCAGTGGAGGGGGAAAGGAGGCAAACAAGTGGAGCTTCCACTTTTGAGTGGAACTCTGCTTTAACTAAGTTAACTTTCTCTGAGCTTATTGGCTGAGTGAAGCTCTACTGACTTCCATCATCCAATCATCTGCAAGCAAAAATCATTCATGTGATTGGATATTCTTTGCAACAATGCTTTTCACCGTATTCGTTAAGGTAAGCCAACATTTCCTTGTAAAATGAAAATTCACTTTGCAAAGCAAACATGTACTGACACTAGCCTGCGCTGTAAAACACTTTTTACCATGCGGGATAGTTTAAACCTAGCCTCAAGTTCACGCCTGCACATTGCAGGAACTCAGCGCATTTCTGGGTGAGTTTCTGGAATGCGCAAACACCGTGTGTCATGCTTGCTGTGCCATCATTTGATAATGGCACCCCAAATATGGGAAGCAAAAGTGCATTTTGCCACAAAAACAGGCAAACTTGGATGAAGCAAAATGCTCCATGAGCTACAGTACTTTGCCAGGTGCAGGGCAACCCATTGCAATCAACGGGCTGTCTTTTGTGTGTCGTCAGAAAAATGCACATGCAAGAAACAGCAGACAAAAATGTGCTAAGTGTGAATGGGACCTCAGACCCCAGATGTCGTTAGCTTAGTTTGCTGAGTACATACTGGATCTGCTAATATCCTC